AAGATAAAATGATTAATAACATAATTTATGCATCTAATATATACATATAAATGTACATGTATAGCTTTTTAAAAACAAGAATCTGTAATTGAAAATGTGAAAGTGAAGAGTTTAGGTAATAGTTCTTAACCAAAATTTAATGACAGTTCATTCTTTCCTAGTCTCCATATAACTTTTAATTACGGCCGTGCCCTCTCCCCATCAAAAGATGTCTAATACATGCTTTTAAATTCTGTTTATGTATCAAGAAATTTCCACAGGTACTTGTGGACAGGATCCCCCCCCCCCCAAATTCAACCCCAATGTTTGTTGGACATTTTTTTCCACAAGTTATATTTATTACACTTATTCATCATGTGTACCATAGGAAAAAATCGAGTACAAGTACCTGTGGAAATTTCTATTTGCCCCCCCCCCCTTTCCCAAAAAACTGAAATTGTTTTCTACGGGCTTGACAACAGGTACTTGTGGACAGACACCCCCTCCCCCCCGATATTCAACCCCGGGGCTTGTTGGACATTTTTTCCACAAATTATATTTATTGCACTTACTCATCATGTGTACCATATGAAAAAATCGTGAAAACCCCAAAATAATCGTTCCACACAAAAAATGCCTCACTATGTATAGTTAAAACATTAATTTTTCATATTTCTTGATGAAATTAACATTAATAAAATCAACACAAAATTATTACCGAATTACATATCACTTGAATTTATCATAAAGCAGAAAATCTGTTCTGTGGGCTTCAAGGCCAGCTCAGGAACCTAAAGATGTCCTCATTTTCCAAGTCCAGTACAGAACGTAAATTAAATGAAATAAATCACACGATCACTGGGAAGAACTCAAAAAAAGAAGACTCTTGAGAAAAAGATATTTTGATTCGACTTATAGACTGAAATAAACCGATATTCTCTTTTTGCCACTCTTTCCTGGTGCCCTGGGACTCTGAAAGTAGAATCAGTATTTTTCTCACAGGTCCGTTGTACGGATTGTACGGGGGGGGGGGGGGCAGACCTTCTGAAAATAGTCTTTTGTTGTAGTTTTAATATGTAAATTTTGATTTAGTTGCTGCTTGCACCCTCCCCACTCTTTGTTTCTCTATGGTCATACATAGGCGAATCCCAGCAAAAATGTAATGACCCCCCCTCCAACACACATTTTTTTTTGTTGAAAATGTGTATTTCGATAGGACTTAAAATTGGAAAACATTTTCTGTATATCTCTACATCGAAAAATATAAAACAAATATTTTTTTTTAATATTTCCTTTATAAAACAACATAGATAATTATGCATAGCTAATTAGATACTGAATTAAATATTTATCTTTGCAGACAATATGCTCTGGGTTATAGAACATGATGTGAAAGCGTATCGTAATGCACCTTGTAATCCTTTGGATTTTCAGATTTAAGGCCAATGCGAAAACCCAAAGACGCCGATATTTTATTATGCTACTGTAATCGAAGATCCGGGGGGCATACAGTTTTTGTCCTGTCCACCTGTCTATTTGTCTGTTAGACTGTGTTAGCCTCTTTGTCCGCAAAAACTTTAACTATGCCCATAAAATTTGATTGGTTGGAACTACTGCTTTCATATTTCTTATGTGTATTCCTAGTAACAAGGACTTCCTTCAGGTACCAACATAATTGACCTCTTGACCTTGAACTTGGAGTTTGATCCTCTTTCGCAAAATTTTACCAAACTATAACCTTGGCCAAAACTTTTGAACAGTTGGTGCTATGGCTTTTATACTTCACATCTGTATCCCTTGTGATAAGTCTCCTCCTTGGGTATAAATATGTTTGACCATTTGACCTTGACCTTGGAGTTTGACCAACTTTTAAACAACTTTAGCCTTGACAATAACTTTTGAATGACTAGTACTAGGGCTTTTATATTACATAGGTAATTTTCTTGTGACAAGGCCTGTCATTGTATACCTTTAATTTTGACCATTTTACCTTGACCTTTGAGTATGTCCTACTTTTGAAAAACTTTAACCTTGGTTTTAACTTTTGAACAGTTGGTGCTAAGGCTTTTTTAATACCACATGTGTATTCCTTGTAACAATTAAGACCTTCCCTCAAGTACAAACAATTATGCTCCCTTGACCTTGGAGTTTGACCTTTTAAAGAAATTAACCTTGGCCATAACTTTTAAACTGTTGCTGCTGTGGCTTTCATACTAGTATATATTTCACAGTATATTCTTTGTTCAAGACCTTTATTTGGGTAATAACATTTTTCTTTATCTTTTGATCTTGACCATGGAGTTTGACTTGCATTTGAGAAACTTTTAACTTTTGCCATAAGATGCCATATGGGGGCATCAGTGTTTCAAAAATCACACGTTGTTCAGTATCCAAATCGGGCATAAAACATTTACAATGATCCTTTAAAGCAGTGAGTTGAACCTAATAAATTACGACTATAGAAATTATGATAATTTATTTCGATGTATGGTCTAAAAAAACGTTTATTATACCTCTGTGAAAACTAGCTTACAAGTGAAAAATCACTAGTAAAATAGAATTTGATTGGCCGAGAAAGTCACGTGTCCACGTGTTTCACGATTGTGACGTCACAATTAAACGAGTGAGGAGTTAGATTGTTTATAGCGACGCTGCTAACTTCGTTCGCGCGGTAACAACAACTAAAAATTCACTCCAAAAAATCACCTTAATTAATGGAATTGCATACAGATAGTAGATTAAACGTTCTTTGTTAAAATGTTTGCACTTTTCAACATTCGTTTATGGAAATACAGCTAACATACGTCATGAGACGTCACAGTCTAGACGTTCCAAATGTCTCGTGCTGTTTGAAGAGGCGGATCTTAAAATTAAGTGAACAATGAACGGTCGCACCGTCAACATAATATCGTTGATTGATTGTGTCGATTTAAATGTGTAAAAATGTAATGGTGTTTGAATGTTACTGGTGTGATCACACAAACTTGTCACGTAGGAATTTTTTTAATGAAACGAGGCTATTGGTGTACCTGTAACTTACATCTCTTTCATATCGTTCTCATCAAATGCATGTTTGCTTTATTCATTGGATCTCCTTTGTAATTCCTGCATTTTGGTTAATTCGGTATTATAAACAATTTATTGCATAATAGTGAGGGAGACATAAAGATTTCTTCGCAAATGAAAAATCATATTTCTCTCGGGCGTTGCCTTCGGGGAGTATGATTTTTCATGGGCGAAGAAATCTTCATGCTGCCCTCGGGGAATATGATTTTTTATGGGCGAAGAAATCTTCATGTCTCCCTCACTATCATGCAATAAATGCAAACTGTGAACTTGTCAATTCCGAAACACACAAAAGGGTATCGCTGATATCATACAGAGTGTATCATTGCCTTGATCAGGCCCATAGGAAGCAAATTCAGGTTTTTTTTTTGGGGGGGGGAGGGGGGCACAGCCATACATTTTCAGTTGACAGTTGAGGGGGCACTACTACCATAAATTTCCTGACAAGCAAAAAAAAAAAGGTCACCAACTACCAAAAATTCCTTGACAAGCAAAAAAAAAAAGGTTATCAGACGTTTTTATTGAGGTGGCACAAGCTATAGTATCTATGTCTACTATAGTAATCTATATATCGGCAAAATTATTGGGGGGCACGCCCCCCCCCCTCCCTCGATTCCTACGGCCATGTTGATTAAATTTAGGGTCACTAAGGAAAGAATGTTTTGACTGGATGAATGGTCTGAAAGAACATATGTTAACTTGTCGAGTCGGTAACACATAGATGGGGTTTGCTTATAACCAGAGTGTGTCATGGTTTGATGCAAGGTCATTTGAACGAGTTCAAGGTCATCAACGGAGAAACAACATTCCTTAACTGTCTTTCTACTGGTGAGACATTGCAAGTTGATACCCCTTACAAGATTGCTTATAACCTTAGAATGTGGCATGACTTTGACTCAAGGTCACTTCTTCCTGTTCGCAGCTCCAACGGAAGACCTACTCGTTGCTTTGCAACGAGCTCTGCTCTAGTTTTTCGTATTTTTGAAATTAATATAAGACTCCAAGGCTTCCCTTGAAGGGGGCAAACAATGCAACCATACTAAACTTGAGAAGGGGGATAGATGGACAGACACACAAGCAAACATTACTTGTAAATGTTAATCTACGAATGAGGAAGGGTCTGTCAGAATTTACCTTTTCTATGCTGATATTGGTAGGTGGGGTGGGGTCTGTCAGAATTTACCTGTTCTATGCTGATTGTGGTAGGTTTGGGAGGGTTCTCTCAGAATCTAGCTGTTCTATAATGATCGTGTAGGTGGGGGAGGAGTCAGTCAGAATTTACCTGTTCTAGACTGATCTGATCGTGGTAGGTGGGGGAGAGGTCAGTCAGAATTTACTTTTTCTAGGCTGATCTTGATGGGGGAGGGAGAGTCTATCAGATTTACCTGTTCCAGGCTTGTGGTTGTACGTATGGGGCAGGGGGGGGGGGGTCAGAATTTACCTATTCCAGGTGGTGGTTGTGATGAGGGGGAATCTGTTGGAATTTGCCTTTTCTATACTGGTTGTTGTTGGGGAGGGGGAGTAACAATTTACCTGCTCCAGACAGATACTTGTAGGGGAGGGTAGTCAGAATGTACCTGTTCCGCGCTGGTGGTTTTGAGTATTATGGAGGGATAGTCTGTCAGATTTATCTGTTCCAGGCTTGTGGTTGGATCTATGAGGGAGGGTTGAGGGGGAGTAAGAATTTACCTGTTCCAGGCTGGTGGTTATGGTGATGGGAACTCTGACAGAATTAATATTGGTTATGGGGGAGGGGAGTCTGAGTTTGCCTGTTCCATGCTGGTGGTTATGGGATGGGGACTCTGACAAAATTAACAAGTTTCAGACTTGTGGTTATGGGAGAGGGGAGTCAGAATGTACTTGATCCAGACTGGTGGTTATTGGAGAGGGGAGTCATTTTCCTGTTCCAGGCTGGTGGTTGTGTGGAAGCCGGAGTCAGAAATGTCAGAATTTACCTGTTCCAGGCTGGTGGTCCTTGCTGAAGTTGTGGTCTTTTATTTCACTGTACCAGGAATCCGTAAAATCTTTCCCTGAAAAATTCAAAAAACGGAAATGAACCTTTGAAATGTAAATAGTATTTGAACAAGATGCCACAATTTATCACTACTGAAACAGATACGATAAAGGTTAAAAGCTTACAGGGGGATGCGCATGTAAAGAAATTGATTATCATGGGGAAAAGGCTTAATTTTTAAAGTTCCTGTTTTCCTGTTATTTTGGGGATTTTTCTTATGTTATAATACACCGGTATAAATGTATTATAGAATTGCTCTTGGTCACGTTTCTTTAATATCAAGTTACAATGCAAACAGCATTTTTTAAAAGAAAATAAAGCAAATTTGAATAAAAGCTAATCTACCAAACATTTGACTTCCTACAATGAGAATAGGTCATTGTGATCTACGCCGTAAAAGCAGAACTGGTATTTGGTGACAGTATCATCTTTTTGGTTTGATATATCCGGATTCTAGTTATAAGTATTAGGCGCATTCTTCTTTTTGTTGAATGAGTATGAAATTACAGCTAACAGTTTACTTTTTAAAAAAATCTAACTTAAGGATTTGAGTTCTGAAAATATTTGCACCACCCCCCACCCCCAGCCCCACCCGAGCCCGCACTTTTGATTTGATTTAAAATGTTTTGTTTTCTTTTACATGTATTTACATAATGATTGAGAAATGATAATATGTTGTACGCATTCATGTATATATTTCTCTTTGGATAACTGCCCGTTTAGACTCGCATGTAATTGGGTTTTGCAACATACGCATTTGAAACATGAGTACATTTTTAATGTTTCCCCACTAAAACAGTTCCAATATATCTAGTAACATACTCTAATGCAAGAAAGTTGTAATCCTTGTGTATTTTCATAATTATATAAAATTTGGTCATCATCTCAAACAATTTTCACGCAAGTATTTTAATTATAAGTTGTTTAACACTGGCTTTTGGATATAGTTACAGCCCTCGATAAAACAGAGTGTCGTGCAATAGTGTATTAATATTGCCTTAATTTATAATTGATAAGTCCTTGAACTAAACTAATTTACATTGTCAACATTTATAAAAGTTTTTCATGTTATAAAATATGTGAACAAATCGATGACATGAATTTTGCCGACAGTTTTGTATTCGTGATGGGAACACCTGAGATTCTCGGGGGACATGACACAGGTGACGACGTTATATTGATAGAATACCTGCGTAGTCAGTGGGTATGGAGGAACCAGTGTAAGCAATGTTTTCTCCTAGCCTTCCTCCATTCAGGGTGCAATTGCTGTGACTTAAGCTGCCTTTATTGGCCATATGTTCCGCCCATTTTTGTGCATAATCTTGAAGATCCTACGATGAAATTTAATTTTAAGGAAAACATCTAAAGATGTGAAGGATCTTTTTTCACAGTGGGTATATTAAAGGAAATATGTTTTTCTTACAAAGTTACATCATAATCCTTCCTGTTAGAACGACAATGGCTGAGTCGAAAGCATGACTTTATTTTCTTAGATGTTACAAGTGTTCAAATTAACACACATTTAAAATGCAAAACACTCTCACGTAAACATGACTGTAGATTAAATTAATGATTTAAAACATATGTTGACATTAAATTTAAATCAAGGGAAAGGTTTTATTCATTCATGTATTTCAAGTAAAAACTCTGGAAACAGAAGATAAGAGACAAAAATCTACCTTTGCTAGCTTGACGGGTGGTACGCCATGTTTGGCTCGTAACTCGTTGTGCCGCTTCAAAGCTTCTTCGTTACATTGATCCAGATCCTGACAGACATATCAAAAATAATAATGTTTTTCCTGCATTTTTCATTTTGAGGTATCAAAAAAAATTGCTCACATTTTAAGAAATGAACAATATTTTGACGAAGTGATTGTTACAAATACATGTAGCTTACTAAACACAATAGTAGATGTGCTACAAAGACTTTAAAATTGAATTTCAAAATCAATCGGAGTTAGGCTTGAAAAATTGCGTTTCCTGATTCATGTAGCGGGTGTGGCGGTCGACAGGGGATGCTCCCTCTACCTTGTCACCCGATCCCACCTCTAATGTTTTAAGGTCCGTTTTTGCACTGCACCCAAGAAGTATTGTTCCAATGGACTTAGACCATGATAATTGTTCGTTATCGTCAAAATTTCACCAAAACAGGAACATTCCATATGATATGACACAATGTATTTGTACAAATGTGACAGAACCTTCTCTACGGTCAAAGATACATCAAAAAATTAAAACTACACATAAAGAGGTAAAACTTACCTGTGAATCATTATTGATGGAACCAACAGAGCCAAAAATATACCAATGAAAGGAAAATCCGCCACACAGAGGAAAACAATGACTAGAAAATTATGCTATAACATATAACCCACAGAATCACAATATTCATAAATCAGCAAAACACGAATCGTCTATCAGTATCAGCAGAAGACAAGTACCGAAGCTGGGAAAGATTCTTTCCAGTGCAAAATTGTCTTCTAGTATCCAGATATATGTGAAAAAGTGTGGTGACCCCCGTTGTTGAACTTGTAAAATTATATAGAAAAGACAGACAAATAACACTGAAAAACAGACAAATTGTAAGACCAAATGCAAAAATGAATTGCAAATCTTCGAATTTGATTCACTGTGCAATATGCCCTTACTGTGGCTAGAATTACATTGGACAGACTAATAAACATAGCCTCAGAGTAAGGGTTAAATTAAAAGTCAATAAAGGACAAAACTATCAGACCCACCCCCTTGTTCGTCTTTCTTTCTTATCTTGATTACAACACTTCCGGTCCGATTTTCTGTTTTTGCACATATAAATTTTATCTGATCGCTATCTCATAGACGACTCAACATTGGGTCTTTAACTTTCGAAGATGATAAATCCGGCGTCACTTTCGTTGCTTACCAAAAATAGTAATGAGACTTAATTTTCTGTTTAATTTACAGTGAAACATATTTAATCCAGATATTCTGTATTCCAAAATCTTGCCTTATACTATGTAAACTTTAAGTTCCTTAGAGTGAATTCAATTCTTCAGGAGTATTGTACAACAACATATTCGAGAAGTGCTGTAAATCAGATGTGGATACTTAAAGATTCCAAGGAATTTTAGGAAAATTTGAAATCACAAAATTTTACCAAAATTAATAGCATAAAAACTTACGACTTTTCAACTCTGTATACAACCATTCCCCGCGATAAATTAAAGTCCAGGCTTTTTGACATCATAGACAGCTTCTTTTTCAGGAAAAATGGAACGTATAAATTTACTTACCTTGTCATTTGCAAAATTATTTTGTTAAAAACATTCTGATTGTACACACAAATATTCTGAAGTTAATATTAAAAAGATGCAGAATTTATTCAAAATCTTATTCATAAGAAAAAGAAATCTCTTGCTAAATTTTCTCGTGTAAATATTTGAATTGTTTATATACAATTAATATTTTTCTCTGTATCTGTTCAAAAAAAAAATCCAACTAGTTACCAACGTACCTTTAATTATTTATCAACATTTTCAGATGTATATCAAGGTCTGTTATCTAATAAACTACTTTTCGACCAAATCCTTTAAAACTGTAATTCAATTTTAGCTGTTTTCAATTTCCAGTCAGGTCAGCATCAATATTTGATATTGAAACAACGTTGAAATGACAATATCATTGCTTCAACATTCAAACACATTCAATTCAAGATTGAATGATTCAACGCTTAAATACCTGCTTGTCTGTCTGATAACATTCTCTCTCACTATAATTACCTTCTTTCTGCTCATGATGTCAGTATAAATCCAAATTTAAGTCTGGTCCTTGCTTGGTTCTTAGTGCAGTATTTCTTTTTGTTATCGACTTTTTAAGGCAAACCTTTTTTTTATACCTTTTAGCACTTGGTTCCTGGAATTCGAGTATTTCAGAGAAAAATGCATATTTAAAAAGTTCTTCGAATTCGGGTATTTCAGAGAGAGAAAAAAACCAGCATGTAAATTCGTGTACTTCTTTATCTTTCATCTTTAATCGAAAACAAAAAATTATAACTTCAATGAAAACATGGTTTTCAAATTTCTTTTTAAATAAAAAAAGAATTTTAAATGAAGTGTAAACGTCCTTTAAACATAATTGCAAATTCACTATTTATAACTCTTTGTATCTAATGTTTGAAGTCCTTATTTTGAACAGACAAATTGTTTTTACATTGTAACGCTCTCTTTAAAGTTTATGGACGTAAAGCTTGTCAGTGACACATTGTAATATAATCCAACAAACATATGAAATTGAAGATAACAAATAGTAATCATGCTCAAAGTCCAATCAAAAAGTACAGATTGTGAGCAGACCGAAACCAGACCTCTGAAAACTATTAATAATTCCGCTATTGTGTAAAATGGAAATTTACCGACGCATGAAGTACTAGTATTTTGAAACAGATGAAGATAACGAATACTGATCGATCTCAAAAAAATATATAAGCAAAACCTTAACTTAATTCATTTCTTTTAAAAAACAAAACAGAGACAATGATTCAAAACTATAACCCGCTAACCATAAACTTAAAACATTATTTTTTTATTTATTGACAATTAATCCCGCATTGTAGAAAGGGAAGATAAAGAAACAATATTAAACTACAGTGATTCTTGTCAGTGTGAAGAAACGGATAAGCATAAAGTGCGCTACCCTAGTCCAGGATGACGACAGGCAAGTATGCTTCAGATTTACCGTTCTGGAATGCAATTCACTTTTGAATTGCGAATTGCGAACTGCGAACTGCGTTCCAAAATCTGATTACCCAGATTTACGCGTTAAATATATTGAAGTTTTCTATCATTGATTCGTAAATACTTTTGTGACTATGTACTGGGCTGTTTTACAAGCTTGCTCGAAAAATTTACTTAAATTGCGCTTATTTGTAAAGAAAACGTATATCGAAGTTTTGCTTCAGATTAGAGTGAAGTTTATGAACCGCTTATTAACGATTAGCATGACTATGATTAACTTATTGTTAAACATTAAATTTAAATCTGAATAGTTTTGAATCTGTAACTAATTAAAACAATTGATTAAGCTGGAAAAGGCTTTGTTTTGTTATTTGGTATTTCCCTCTCGACCAACGATAGATTTGTTAACATTTTTATCCACCATTCAAAATTTTGCTTTTTAAATCATGTATTGTTGTAAATGAAAACACGGCAGACGACTGACTGCATAATTAAATTATTATTTGGTTAAGCATAGACTTTTTATAATACTGTTTTTCATTTGTTAAGCTTTTGAAATATTGTTATGATGTTTTGTTCACTATAAATTTTATAATTGTTTATATTTCTTTACAGCGTAAAAAAATGTAAAATTCCTCGTGATGTTTTATTTCGGCCTACTTGTGCCTATCCAGATATTGGTTAACATTAGCCAATATCCTCGGTCAACTAACTGACCAGTCCCATGTACGAGGGGTGAATAAAACGTTCGACATTTAGCACACATATAGTCATACACATGTTCTATATATAGCAGATGTTACGTAATGTTTTGCTCAATGTTTTTGACGTCAAAATGTGAAAATGACGTCAATATGTAGGTGACTTATGACAAATAATGAATGAATCAGTTCAAAAGTGGGGGAGGGCACTCTCCCCCCAAAAAAACTTTTTTAAAAAACTGACCTAAAGTGGGGGGGGGGGGCAACTTCCCAAAATTATCTGACAAGCAAAAAAAAAGCTAATTTACTGTCCAAATCCTGGAATTTGCCGGTAAGACTCGGAAAAATCTTTTAGCTTTTGTGAACAGAACGCTACGGAGCATGTCACGTGACCGCCTGTATCACGTGATTCGCGCATTGGCAGAACGGTGATAGATGTGCATTTAAATTGGAGAGAACTACGGTAAACATGACGAACACTGAAACCTAATTTCATTTCTTTTATGGAAGTAATGCAATTAGTTCGCAAACTTTTGTAGTCACGAGTGTCATGATCTTATATAACTATAATGTAATAAAGTATGACATGTTGATGCCTTGCATTCTTATGGTTGAAAAATAAAATTTTCCTTTTAAGTCAGTCCCTCTTGTTGCATTTTCTTCTGTGCGATTGTGTTTTGTAGACTTCCGAATCTCGAAGAGACTTGAAGACAACCTATTTTATTTGAGAAAATTCCAAAGATGTCATTTTTTTTCTACACTGTAGTCATTTAACGGCGATTTGTGTTTTAATATAAAGAACTCGGTGTTTTTATATACTCCTCCGGTCAAACTGAAGGACTTGTTAATTTTCTTTTTTTCTTTTTTTGATTGATTGATTTATTGATTGATTATAAAGTCTTTTTATAGATCCACCTGAACTCTTGCTTTTGGATGTGGAAGTAACCATTTTGTAAATTTCAATTTCAACCACTTCCGGTCAAACTGAAGGACTTGTTAATTTTTTTTTCAATTTTTTTTATTGATTGATTGATTATAAAGTCTTTATATAGATCCACCTGATCCCTTGCTCTTGGATGTGGAAGTAACCATTTTGTAAATTTCAATTTCAACCAAAAATATATAATTAATTTACAATTAATCGTAAGGTATGGCAGATAGAGAGATATTTCCAGAAACAAAGACACCAAATCTAAGGAATATAATAATTCTATTGATTGTTTTTTCTTTTATTGTTAAAAAACAACATTATCACAGACTTATATGGAGAAGATATACATGTATATATGTACACGAAAAGGTTTTCAATAAATAGAACTTAATTAAAAGTATAAATAAAATGGTTAAAATGACCATCAATATCCATTACTAGTAAATAAATTTTCCGAATCCATATATAATCATGCTCAAATTATTAGGAACATTCAAATGGTGTTACTTTGTTATTCTAAATAAATATCTATTTTGGTGCGAAAACATTGTTTTTGAAATCTCCGAGCATATTTCCGGCCGGGCGATAACTCCCGCACACAAACACGGAACAGCCATTGGCAGACTTTGCTTTACCGAACCCGACTTCTGTGGTGCCCTTCCATACAACTTGAGTAAAATGACCTGAAAGAAACCAAAATGCTATTGATTTTTTCCTCATTCTGGATGGCATGTGAAGAATTTATGTAACAAATTCAAGAAATACGTATTACATTTTGATATTTCAATCACAATGTGTTCTTCGACTTATTCGTGGCAGTTATTTTGAAAGTGTGGCGGGTAGGTAGCAAAAGTTGGTAAAAAATGATTCTGACTTATACTTCTGACTGACTAAGATTTACACAGGTTTTATATATGAATTTATAAATTTTAACAAGAGGCCCAAGGACCTTAACGGTCCCCAGATTATAATGCAACGATCCATAGATCAAAACAAAATAAAGCTGATAAATGAAGCTATGTTGCCCAAAAGCAAGAGAAATAGGATAATTGGGGATCAGCAAAATATTAATTTAGTACTCAGTAACAAATATCAAAGTTGTACTTTCCCCCATTTGGTAGTATTCAAATACTGACTAAACAAAAAAATAGTTCTAGAGCACTATTAGTTAACACATTTGACTCCCCCTTACATTGGCCTCTCTTAGACTTTGAAGATTATTTAATGTACAAAGATACAGTATCTTTGTCCCATTTTCAAAGTCTACCTTTTAAATCTATCTTTCTACGCTGATGATGGATGGAGAGAGAGGGGTGTGTAAGATTTACCAATTCTAGGCTGGTGGTGGTGGGCTAAGGGGGGGGGGGGGGGGCTAAAGTAAGAATTTACCTGTTCCAGGCTGGTGGTCCTTGCTGAAGTTGTGGTCTTTAATCTCACTGTACCAGGAATCCGTAAAATCTTTCCCTAAAAAATTCAAATTATTTCAATTCTCCTTTAAAATATAAGTAGTATAAGAAGCGACAAATAATTAAAAATTCAAACAGAAAACATAAAGTTTAAAATCTTGCAGGATGATGCACATGTAAAGAAATTTATCTTCGAAGGAAAAAAGGCTTCAATTTTAAAGTTTCCGTCTTTTTGTTGGGGATTTTACTTATATGTTATAAAACACCGATACGTGTAGATCTGCATTATATAATTGCTCTTTGATCTCGTTTCTTTAATATTAAGTTACAACGAAAACAACATTTTTTAAAGAAAATAAAGTGAATTTAAATAAAAGTTAATCTACCTAGAATGTGACTTCCTACAATGAGAATAGGTCATCGTGGTCTATGCCGTAAGAGCAAATCAGGTATCTGGTGACAATTGCCTACTTTTTGGATATCTATATAATTCTATTTATCAAGATAAGGCTCAATTGACCGCGAAATTACAGCTTAAAGTTTATAAGGTACACAACGTATTTTATTTAACAATTCATTTTTAGTTCTAAAAAATTGGTTTCCCCTCCCCCAACCCCATACTTGGATTTGATATAAAATGTTTTGTATTCTTTTATATGTTTTTACGTAATGGTATGAGAAATTGTATGAAGTATGCATTCCGTACATTTATATATTTCTCATTGGAAAAGGAACATTTTGACTCGCTTTTACAATTGGTTATTATAAAACACGCATCTAAAAATATGTACATGTTTAATGTTTCCCACTAAACAGTTCCATTAGATCTAGTAACATACCCTAATGCACAACAGTTGCAAACCTGGTGTATTTTCAAAATTATATTAAAGGACAAGTGCACTTTAGCAACGCTTAATGGGCCCTTTTTCAGTGCCGTTTTACTTTTGAATATATTACCAAATTGTTCTTTTTTGGTAATAGTTAAACACAAGTGGATATTTCTAATTAAAATCACGTTAAAACATCACCTAAATCAGCATGGATTTGAAACAAATGAAGATTTTTAAATGCCTATAGCTACCCCAAATCCGGAAAAGTCGTACCGAACCTATTTTGAGTTTCGTTTATTTAAATCAAGGGGAGGAGGCATTTAAATCGAACACTTGAACAATCTGATGGTGGATCATTGACGGGCGCGTTTGCCGAATGATACTTCTTGCGTTATTTTACTTGAGAAAAAAAACGAATGAAGTTGTATAGATGCCTGTAGCCATAGTGATCTAACTAAGAAATTTGCACGCTTGCATTTGAAATAATACAATAAGTATTACCATTAGTTCCTTTAAATTTTAAAATGAAAAAAGTGTATTTAGGTGGTTTTCAATACATGTACCAGTACCATTGTCTTACATGAATGTTAAAAATGTTTTACGTTTTTATGTATAATGACATTTTAACGACACTAAACTCTCCTAACCCTCCCGTGTTCCTAAAACCAAATACATACAAACTTCTCTATGCGGCACGACTTCGATATAATGATACAAAACGTGGCTATCTTTTACAGTGAGCACCTTTGAGGAATGTTTACCTGGGTAGAACTCACGTGACTACCGATATTTTAAATAATTTATTCCATGGGTGGGTTCAACATAGGTCATACAGGTAAATAGCTCTCGCTTGCTATAGGAAAAACATTGAACTTTTCATATATTTTTAATGTTTTAAGTACAAGCCTAATCTTGTACAAATTTCCTACTTTCACACAAGTTTTATAAATGTATAATGCGTTTTTTGTTATTTGCACAAGTTTGTACAACGTTAGGCTGACAGTAAACAAAAGCTTTGAAATGAATGACCGTCCTCGATTTACTATAGAAAATCACGAATATTTATGTCGGCTGACCCCTAGTACATTGTATGGCTTTGCTCTTTGTATAAGCATGAATTTCAGCGCTAAAATTTGTTGAATCTTATGGTTTAGATATCAATTAATGATCTGAGATGAAAAATTATGCTTAATTTGATTCTTCATTTTTTCACATTTTACCGGGGCCCATAAATGCACTCGTTCTTTGGTCATTTTAACAAAGAATCTTATTATCAAAGTATTTTACCTATTAGTTGTTTTATACTGGCTTTTGGGTTAAGTTACAATCCTCGATAAAACAATGAGTGTCGTGCAATTTAGTGTGTTAATAATTGCCTTTATTTATTATTGATAAGTCCAGAACTAAGCTAGTATGCACAGTCAACATTCATAGAAGTTTTTCATGCTACCCAGAATCAATAATTTGAACAAATCGATGACATGAATTTTGCCGACAGTTTTGTATTCGTGATGGGAACACCTGAGATTCTCGGGGGACATGACACAGGTGACGACGTTATATTGGTAGAATACCTGCGTAGTCAGTGGGTCTTGAGGAACCAGTGAAGGCCACATTCTCTCCTAGTCTTCCTCCATTAAGCATACAATCGCTGTGACTCAAACTGCCACTTTTGGCCATATGTTCCGCCCATTTTTGTGCATAATCTTGAAGATCCTACGGCGAAAGTCAATTTTAAAGAAAACATAGATCTACAAAGGTGTTTGAGTCTTGTTCACAGTGGGTATATTAAAGGAAATATGTTTTTTTCTTGCAAAGTCGGATCACAATCCTTCTGATTAGAACTATATCGGCTGAGTTAAAAGTTTTTCTCAATTTTCTTAGATGTTAATAAAAGTGGTTATATTAACAAAGACTCACACATCTGCATGAAATCTAAATTAAATAAATAAATCTTAGATATATGTTGACACTAAATCTGGATCTAGGGAACGATTTCATTCATATACTAAGTCAAAAATCGAGAAACGGAATGTAAGAGACACAAGTCTACCCTAGCTAGCTTGACAGGTGGTACGCCATGTTTGGCTCGTAACTCGTTGTGCCTTTTCAAAGCGTCTTCATTACATTGATCCAGGTCCTGGTTGCTCTTCGGTGCTGACGATGCTGAACTATCATTGCCTATTGCATTTGATGCAGAAGAGGACGGCTGAAATGTCAACAATGTTGATGCTTATTATGCATTTTGTCATCTGGTAGAAAAATTTCTTCACATTTTAAGAATTAAACTATGTTTTAACAAATTGCAGTTTGAAAAGCAATAAGAGATCAATATATAGGTTCGAAGGAGGACTGGGTTTCTTGATAGGGGGATACTTGAGTACTAGTCACAATTTTATTTTCATTGTGGATTAATTTTCGCTGTTTCACACGAAGACAAAGCAGTGTAGTATAATACTGAAGTGAGAAAAATTTTAATTAGCAAAATCAGAAAAGAAACGCGAATTCAAAATAAATAAAAATGCATGTTCGCTGTTTTGAAATCTCGAAAATAATCGTGAGCGAATTCAAACCATAAAACATTTAAACAAAAACACTGATAATTTACATGTTACATTAACAGTGCAATTTACTGTTATTTCAAAATGCATTGTAAAAAGCAGGGCTTTTCGATTTCAATTTTGTCAAGATTATAATCAAGATTATCGACTTACTGCCACTTGTCTTGTGGATTTGTTGACGGATTCCTGGGGACCCCCGTCCTCTCCAGAGACCGTCTCCGTGACGGTGGTTTCCTCACGTCCGTCTGGGTACGTAATAGTCTCCTCCACTACAGTGGTTGTTATCGTTTTTCCATTCACGATCTCTGTCTTTGTAGATTTTTTAGTCGATTTTCTCATTTTTATTTTTGTAAAATTATTAATCCAAATAAAAGTCTAGTACCTTGTATGGCTGTTCACGTCAATTTTTCTTTCTGTAAGCGATTGTTTTCCAGGACAAACGCTTTAAATACCTTCAGTTCTGTGAATCCCTGGACTTGGATATTTCGGTAAAATGACATGGCGTGTAAATACGTGTAGGGGATATTTGAATTATTCAATTTAACTTTTTAAATACCTAATCCTAGTACTTATTTCCGTATTGTGTTTATGTATACTCAAATACAATGAACAAAAATTGGGTCAATTAAAATATACAATGGATTTCGAAGAATTACTGCAGACTTGGGATAAATATATAGAGGTATTTCATATAAATCCAGTGATATTTTTATTTTTAAAAAAAATCCTGCTGTTTTAAAATATGGTATAGATACGTTATCTTAATGTCAATGCCACTATGAGAAGAAACGTGTCATTTTTCCAGTTTAATAAAATTAGAGCTAAATTTAGCGTCATCATTTTTTTATCTATGTAATAATGTGTAATCGAAATGAGAATGTTTCATGTAAGTGATAAACATTATATTGTTTGTTTTTCATGTGACTTACGTGTTGTTTAATTATGTAGAAAATCAGTAGACTGTGCTTTGTTTTAAACTCTTGTAAAACAAAAATGATTGTTACAGTTTCCGTGAAAACAAGCAAATTCAAACAATAGTGCTCCCCTGCTTTCGGTGTCTTAGCAGATGGGATGCCATTATTTATGGCATATTGTAACTGTCTTGTCTAACTTCAAGGTCAAGGGGTCAAAAATCATAGTAACATAGTATATTTGAAAAGATCTTGCCACAGGTAATGTACATGTCAAATATGAAAGCCATATCCCTTCTTAATCAAAAGTTATCAGCAAAGATTAGATTTTTGAAAAGTAGTTTAAATTCAAGGTCAAGGGGTCAAAAACCATAGCAATTTAGAAAGGTCTTGCCATAGGTAATGTACCTGTGTATAAGGAAAGCCCTACCTTTTCTCATTCAAATTTTATAACCAAAAATGTTTTGAAAAGTAGGTCAAACTTCAAGGTCACAGGGTCAAACATTAGCATATTTGGAAAGATCTTGTCACAGGTAATGTGCATGCGAAATATGAAATCCCTATCATTTCTTAATCAAAAGATATAAGCAAAGATTAATATTTGATAAGTAGGTCAAACTTCAAGGTCACGGGGTCAAAAGTCATTGTATATTTAAAAAGGTCTTGTCACAGGTAATATGCTTGTTTAATATGAAAGCCCTATCTCTTCTCATTCAAAATTGATGACCAATGTAATGTTAAAATTTTTGAAAAGTAGGTCAAATTTGAAGGTTAAGGTCACGGGTCAAAAATCATAGTATATTTAGAAAGGTCTTGTTACAGGTAATGTACATGTGAAATATGAAATATGAATATGAAGGTTTTTACCAAGATTAGATTTTTTTGTGACAGACGGACAGACTGACAGACGAATGAGATTCAATGTCCCCTCGCTTTCGCGACAATAAAAGGGGCGGATCCTTTTCAATTGTTTTCAAATAGAAAAGAAAGTATCAGACAAACACAAAAGGAATGCAAATGTAACCAATTATTTTTGGTCGATTTATAGACTGATAACGCCTAAAAATATATAACCAAGATGAAATATATTTCTACAATGTTTATTTCTTGAGTGTCAATTATTTAATGTATAATAAAAGTTGACATATATAGACAAAAGATAATAAACAATGATGCTCTGCATGCTATTCAGCATAAATATGATGACCACATATAGGACATAATGAGGCGTCGTCACATAATGAAGATTGATGCAATTTATAAATAAAGACAACATATTAACCTTGACCTTACATGTACATGTCATATTATACTTAATTTAAACAATGTACATGTGTAAAGTAAATAAATTAATTAATTAAGAATCAAAAAAGGGGAAACAAACTTAATTAGAAGAGATCACAGCCATGAAAAGGTATACAATTTATGAAGAGCTTTATTTCTTGATAGTGTTAAGCCTATTGTAGTCATGATAAGAATTTGTTTTGTCATAATAAATTTGGATAAGGTTTAATAATTATGATACAACTATAATTATCTTGCGACAAAGCCACTAAAAGTGTGGAATTTTTCAGACAGGTTATTACGTAATGTCCTACCCTTTTAAAAGTCTGTAGACCATACGTTTGTCTGTGACAAGTTTATACTTATTCAAGAACAGCAAGTGTTTCTTGGAAATATGATTCAACAAATAGATCATTCTTCCTGCAAATCCCCTTTTGTGCAACGTGACAAAAGCCATAATAATGGACGTTAACCGAGTTAACAAGCATACCAGTGATTTATTGAATTAAATAAATGCCTTTTAAAGTTCTTTTTCAAAATATATATTATACTCTTTCATGGAAAATAATTGTAATAACGATATGTATCGGGTAATATAAAGAAGTTCAGTGAACAAATCCTTTTATTTTACCTTAACAAAAAGGATTGGAGTCGCGAGAATAATAAAGGAAGAGATAAATATCAAGAAATATTTACCTTTGTCTATTGTCTATAGACCATTTATATTCACTTAACAAAGAGAAAGGTGCCTGACAGGACAGAAATATGCAAATTTTTTTTTGTAATTTGTAATTCTCCAAAATATTTTTATATCCATATTTAGAAGATAATGTTGTACTACAGTAGTATTTAAGAAAACCATTATATTCAAAGTAAGAATACCTATTACTAAGAATATCAGCGCATGATTTATAGATAGGTACATTTATAGTAACATAAAAAGAAAAGATAGAAAATGTAAAGTATGTATATCAGATGAGATGAAGGATAAAATATCACTTTGCACCAATATTTCCTCGATATGGACGAACTAAGAATTAAATATATTAAGAGTTATTATTTTTTTAAAAAAAAAACATCATTGTTGAAATTAGCACAGTTACTGAGTTCTACAAATACAAAAGAATTAATAATGTTATCTGCATTTTTCTCATCAATTAACGAAATATGAAGATAACGAGCAGTATTTAATCTCGAAAGTCCAATGAAACGATACAAATTTTGGAGCAGAGTAAACACGGACCTCAAACTTTAGAGGTGGGATCAGGTGCCATAGAGGAGTGAGCATCCCTTGCCGACCGGTCACACCCGCCGTGTGCTCCTTGTCATGATCGAGAAAAATCCGTAGACAGTTCAGTGTATAAGTAATGGCCTAACAATAAGTATGAAAAACGTCAGTCAGCATTTGACTCAATGATGGGTTGTATGTGCTGACAAGGTCATTGCATCAACCGTAAAACTTGCGAAATGATGACTTCAAACGAGACTGTCGATATCCTTGTTTCATCAACTTGTTTGTCAATAATTTGCCTCGTTTTAGAAATTGTTCATACGTAGAGCATGCTCTTGCGTATCGAATCAACTGAGAGATATAAATTCCATATGCAGGTAATGTTTAGGGTATATTGCTACATAAGTAAGGGAAGTTGAGGATTGATAAGTTGAAGTCATCACGTTTATCGTAAAGCTTTGTTGTTAGGTTACCATTAACGTCTTTTTCTAGTAAAATATCTAAATTAAGAAATGATGTATGAAAGAGTGTACAATAAGAAATGATAAATCTGTAAATACTATTGTTTATGTAATTGCTAATGTTTAGTATATACTACTCATATCCTGTACAAATCTTGGGTATAAATATTTATGTACATATTTTGTATAACTATGGAATGTAATGTAAAAATGTAGCAAGAAGAACCCATAGAGAATGCCATATATATTTAATTGTGTATTAAAGTACAAAACACTGATTGTATCAGATAGGCTCTTGGACCATAAAACGTAAATGAGCTCACTTTTGATCTCAGTCCTACTTTTCCACTATTTATTCCTTTTGTAAAAGTGAAACAGAGATCAAAAGTGAGCTCATCTAAGTTTTATGGCCCCGGAGCCAGAAGTTGAGTCCAAGTTCCAAACGTGTAAAATTTTGGATAAACAAATGGTATGCAATTAAATGATATACATGTAGTATGTAGAAGGAGTTCCTCATATCAAATGCGCCGAGTGAATCTATTAATTGTAATAGGTAGTTTCCATTTAAATTTGGTAGTTGGCGAAAGGGGGTTATATTAGCCTATACCTCTTTCCTAAAGTAAAATCTACAATATCACTAGAGCTTGCACTATTTGTAATTAGGTAATCAATAGTACTCATACCATTTGCACCATTAAAAGTTCGGGGAGCTTATGTAATACCCATTTCCAATGCATATAAATGTATTACTTCTCTCTCTCTCTCTCTCTCTCTCTCTCTCTCTCTCTCTCTCTCTCTCTCTCTCTCTGACACCGACCAATAGAGTTCAAGCTGGCCAATATACCAACATATATGAACAAATATCTGATATGTGTGACGAATTAGACTTGATTGCAATTGTGTTTACCAATCCAGTTAAAATATTGAAACAACTTTCTTTAAGCTGACTTTAAATATCCCGTTGCCTTTTTGATAAGAAATTCTAAATAAATGCTAAATAGATTCCAGCATTCTTTATATAAACTGTCTAATCCGACACCAATGCAACCTGTTAATTTTGTATTTCGATTGATTTATTTGCCTGGCACATTTAAATGTTTTGTTTGTTTTTTTTAACTAATCCTGTTTCCCTTTGACCATAGTACAGCATTATGTAGCTCAATGGTTTAAAGACACTTATCATAAAAGACCTGGAGTTGAAGAGAAGAACAAATAAATGTTAATCATATTAGTGGATAGTCAGAAATATTCATTGTAATGAGAAAATGCAATTTTATATATATGATACATTGAATCGTAGAAGAAGAGAACAGCTAGAGATATGTGTTTGTAAAAAAAAAAAAAAAAAATGAATAACGTTTACTAGACATGATGTTATGTAATACATATAATTGTCGTTAAATCAGAATTCGTACAGAGAGATGAGTCAAGGTTATAATGATTTATAACGAGATATATGGATATGGCA